AACTTATATATAGAAAAATGTAGTAATAGGCTAACTTATACATAGAAAACTGTAGTAATAGGCTAACTATATACATAGAAAACTGTAGTAATAGGCTAACTATATACATAGAAAACTGTAGTAATAGGCTAACTTATACATAGAAAACTGTAGTAATAGGCTAACTATATACATAGAAAACTGTAGTAATAGGCTAACTTATACATAGAAAACTGTAGTAATAGGCTAACTATATACATAAAAACTGTAGTAATAGGCTAACTTATACATAGAAAACTGTAGTAATAGGCTAACTATATACATAGAAAACTGTAGTAATAGGCTAACTATATACATAGAAAACTGTAGTAATAGGCTAACTTATACATAGAAAACTGTAGTAATAGGCTAACTATATACATAGAAAACTGTAGTAATAGGCTAACTATATACATAGAAACCTGTAGTAATAGGCTAACTATATACATAGAAAACTGTAGTAATAGGCTAACTTATACATAGAAAACTGTAGTAATAGGCTAACTATATACATAGAAAACTGTAGTAATAGGCTAACTTATACATAGAAAACTGTAGTAATAGGCTAACTTATACATAGAAAACTGTAGTAATAGGCTAACTATATACATAGAAAACTGTAGTAATAGGCTAACTATATACATAGAAAACTGTAGTAATAGGCTAACTATATACATAGAAAACTGTAGTAATCGGCTAACTTATACATAGAAAACTGTAGTAATAGGCTAACTTATACATAGAAAACTGTAGTAATAGGCTAACTTATACACAAAAAACTGTAGTAATAGGCTAACTTATACATAGACAACTGTAGTAATAGGCTAACTATATACATAGAAAACTGTAGTAATAGGCTAACTATATACATAGAAAACTGTAGTAATAGGCTAACTTATACATAGAAAACTGTAGTAATAGGCTAACTTATACATAGAAAACTGTAGTAATAGGTAGAAAACTGTAGTAATAGGCTAACTATATACATAGAAAAGTGTAGTAGTAGGCTAACTTATACATAGAAAACTGTAGTAATAGGCTAACTATATACATAGAAAACTGTAGTAATAGGCTAACTATATACATAGAAAACTGTAGTAATCGGCTAACTTATACATAGAAAACTGTAGTAATAGGCTAACTTATACATAGAAAACTGTAGTAATAGGCTAACTATATACATAGAAAACTGTAGTAATAGGCTAACTTATACATAGAAAACTGTAGTAATAGGCTAACTATATACATAGAAAACTGTAGTAAAAGGCTAACTTATACACAAAAAACTGTAGTAATAGGCTAACTTATACATAGAAAACTGTAGTAATAGGCTAACTATATACATAGAAAACTGTAGTAATAGGCTAACTTATACATAGACAACTGTAGTAATAGGCTAACTTATACATAGAAAACTGTAGTAATAGGCTAACTATATACATAGAAAACTGTAGTAATAGGCTAACTAATACATAGAAAACTGTAGTAATAGGCTAACTTATACATAGAAAACTGTAGTAATAGGCTAACTATATACATAGAAAACTGTAGTAATAGGCTAACTTATACATAGAAAACTGTAGTAATAGGCTAACTTATACATAGAAAACTGTAGTAATCGGCTAACTTATACATAAAAACTGTAGTAATAGGCTAACTTATACATAGAAAACTGTAGTAATAGGCTAACTATATACATAAAAATTGTAGTAATAGGCTAACTTATACATAGAAAACTGTAGTAATAGGCTAACTATATACATAGAAAACTGTAGTAATAGGCTAACTTATACATAGAAAACTGTAGTAATAGGCTAACTTATACATAGAAAACTGTAGTAATAGGCTAACTATATACATAGAAAACTGTAGTAATAGGCTAACTATATACATAGAAAAGTGTAGTAGTAGGCTAACTTATACATAGAAAACAATAATTTATAAACAACAACAAACGATGGATATACGATTAGAAAATTGTAATGAACACATCCAATATAAAAACCATACTAATAAGATCATAACAAAACATGAAAACATATAAAAAATTTGCATTCAGGGCTGTCTCCGCTGCTTTATGTGATAACCGGATGTATGAATGAAGATGAGTATGATTCCTACATGCAGGCGAGTCCTAGTCCGAAATAGGAAAAGGTGGTCCTGGTTGTAGGAATGAGAAGTATAAATGAAAATTTTGAACACTGGTTGATCGAAAATGAAGGTTTAAACTATTAAATAAAACATGACAAATTTGAAAATGAGTAAAATCAGCTTGTTACCAGGCGAAGGAGTCCTGTACAACGAAGACTGCTAAAATAGTACACAGTCTAGGTAACATCGCCAGGCGAGGTCCTGAGTTCTACTGAAGAACCAGGCGAAAATGGTCCTGTACGGATGCACTATAACTGTACTATATGAAACTATGTAAGTAGAAAATGAATTGAAAAACCTGCGACTTGGGGCTAACGGACCCATCACATACAGCAACCAAAACCTCCAATAAGTACCATGGTAGTGTGGACGGGGATGGTGGTGGCCAACAAAAAAATGAAGTCAGCACAACAGATTTACAACATGTCCGCTCGTTATCTTGAAGTGATACTAAATATGGTAATACTCATTAGTATGCATACAATGTAAACAAACAGAAACGAGGTTAAAGGTCAGAACTGACTATATATATAGAGCTAGCTAGTAAACACATGTATATGACATACCTCTAGGCATAGATAACTAATTAAGGTAGCATAATGGTAGAAATCAGTAGTTTACAAACCAAGTTTAATCATTAAATTATTAAACAATAATTTATAAACAACAACAAACGATGGATATACGATTAGAAAATTGTTATGAACACATCCAATATAAAAACCATACTAATAAGATCATAACAAAACATATATATATACATAACATTGGACAACATGAAAACATATAAAAAATTTGCATTCAGGGCTGTCTCCGCTGCTTTATGTGATAACCGGATGTATGAATGAAGATGAGTATGATTCCTACATGCAGGCGAGTCCTAGTCCGAAATAGGTGTAGTAGGCGGGCTCAGGAGATGAGAGTTTGCCACACAAATGACTTCGCGTTGTGTATTTTTAAAGTGTACAAATGTACAAGGCCAAAATTGAGTTACTAAACAGTGGCCAACAGTCAACTCCCAGGCACACCTTCCGGTTCTTTTCTCCTGATTAGTCGAAGTGTTAGGAAAGACCCACAACAACGCCAAGATTGAAGTTCCACTATTTAATTGTCAAGAGAATATCAGCGAATAGTGCAGGAGCAATAACAAAGTATAAACAAAAACAATCTAACATAAGTAAAAATCAGTCAACCAAGGTGTAAAAAGCCAGCAGAAAATCTAACAAAAATGTAAATTAGCGACAAAAAAATAAACTAAGCAGCAAAACAACAAAACCTGACAACGTGAAATAAACTGGGGTCCAGTGCGCCCCCCACAGATACTGCTGCTTTTAGAACAAAACTGGCTACATTAAATAGCCTAAACCTATCTACTGAACTCCAAACTTTTAAAGTACACTGGTCTGCCTACGAGACGGGCTAAAAACCAACCCCCTCCCGTAGAAACCTACATAATAGCTACTAACTATAAGCTAATGGTCAGAATTTGACACTACACCAATGGAGAGCAAATAAACCCTTTCACTCTGATTTCAGAGCGGTCTACATAATTCAACTGTATACTAGTCTAATACCACGTGAATTCCAGCCCTCACTCCGGTTTCGGAGCGTGCCCCGCAGCTTACTGACTAAGGTGACAGCCTTACGACATTACTATAAACAGTGAAGGTATTCCTCTGTTTTCAGAGTGTCAACTGTCTAAGAAGGCTTAATTACATTTAACTATCACTTCGGTTTCGAAACGTAAAGGCCTAAGTCTAATTCCCCAGTGCTCTGGTTTCAAAACATCAGTAATACTGCGGCAAACCCACTGAACTCACCTAACTCCGGCCAGAAAAGGTCCCGGTACTGCACGTGTATCGCCGTTTTATACCCTTTGACCCTAGTGGAAAAACATCCGGTGGATGTAGAAACTAATAACAGACTCTCAGCGACTGGCTCCGCCGCTGAAGCCCTGACCAATCACATTACGTGATACTAATGACTACGGCCCATCTCACAAGATGGCCGACATAACAACCCGAAGCAGACAGAAGTCAATCCAGACATAATGTCCCTCCGTAATCCCTAGGCTGAACCCCCCAGAGTACTACTAACATCGCGACTAAGGGTACGTACACCTAGTAAGAGCCAAAAACCCCACTACCGGGTCACTCAACCGAACGCTACACAGCCTTTACTCAACAAGACTCACACGGCAGAAACCGACCTTTCCACATAGGAAAAGGTGGTCCTGGTTGTAGGAATGAGAAGTATAAATGAAAATTTTGAACACTGGTTGATCGAGAATGACGATTTAAACTATTAAATAAAATATGACAAATTTGAAAATGAGTAAAATCAGCTTGTTGCCAGGCGAAGGAGTCCTGTACAACGAAGACTGCTAAAATAGTACACAGTCTAGGTAACATCGCCGGGCGAGGTCCTGAGTTCTACTGAAGAACCAGGCGAAAATGGTCCTGTACGGATGCGCTATAACTGTACTATACGAAACTATGTAAGTAGAAAATGAATTGAAAACCCCGCGACTTAGGGCTAATGGACCAAATTGATATGCGCAGCATGAGACAGCCCCAAAAGTCGATAATAGGTGTAGGTGATAGTTCAAGATATGAATATGATATGGTAATTATGACAAGATGAAGTATATTGATAAATACCAAAATTGAAACGAATGAGTGTGGCAATGAACGTCGGTGTACATATAAATCTTATATACATACATGTATAATATATAATGAAACAAACTTGGAAACGACCATATATTGATCATGATAAAAGCTAATAGTGATATATAAGTATATGGCAGATCATGAACAAATCTGTTACAGACATTGATGTATAACACGAGATTGGATGTACAAGTACAGTACATGATATACAAACTGGAGTCTGATAAGAAACAGAACGCACTGGAATTTAGTGAGAGTCTGTGCAGTCGTTGGTCAATGAGCAAAAAGCAGCTTTGATGGTGCTTTTTGAAGTACGAATGTACCTCAGATAACAATCAGAAGACCAACGTCCAAGCGTTTTAATCAAGTGGTCCTCTACATGTGTGTTGGCTGCAGAGGTGGCGGCACCAATGCGGAAGGAATGTCCGCTGTATACACTGTCATCTAGGCCAAGTCTATGAATAAGGCTTTTAAGATAGGAGATAAATATTGAGCGAGTCAGAGGTTCGCCTGTAGGAATAATGAACAAGGGGTCACATGGTGCAGGCACAGGACTAGACGCAAGTCTTAGTAATAAGTACTTGTTTACGGCAGTGTAAGGGCATATGGCTTTACCTGTACTGTACAAAGTAATGGAGATGCCTTTCCGGAAAGGGTCACACTTGGAAGCTTTCATTGTTAGAACAACAGTGTGTTGTACATGATCTAAGCTTACGTCACTATAACACAGGTTGACCCTTGGACCAAATGAGCCAGAGATACAGATTTCTCCACATCTGAGGAAACCGAAAAAGGCAAGAGTACACACAGCTTCTTACAAGACGTCCAGGAAAGGAGAAAAAACTCCTTTGCGTAGAAGCAAACACATCCTTTCTAAAATGCTGTTCGTGATAGGCAACCGCGGTTTAAGCGTGATACCTTGACGTTTTTTAATGCCGGTTAGGATAGTGTTGAGTCGCAAGAAAGGTTGACAATTTTCGGAAACCAGAGGATTCGAATGACCACGACGTAGGTAGGTAAAGCGTAAACCGCACATGTACAAGTTGATTGTAGAGGCTTTAATACCTAAGGTTTTAAAACAGTACGCTGCAAATGACGTCAGAAAATCTTCTGATACTGGCGGTAAGGCGGAAGTCCAGTTAATACCACTTTGGAGCAGAAAAGTTTTGTATGCGTCAAAACCGGTTAGGTAAGTACTCTGTGTATTGGCACTAACAGCAGAATCCCAGAGCTCTTCGATTGTAGATCTCAATCCCACATCACATGGTGAAGGTCTGGACAGGGACATGGTTGGCTTGCCGCCGTGGGCGCTGCTCTCCGGAAATCCTGGAACTTAAAACGGGATAAAGCGTCAGCAATGGTGTTTTTTACACCTGGCACATGTCTAGCATTCACAGTGAAATTGTACGTAGCAGCACACCATGTCAGACGTCTCATCAGAGACATAATATTAGGAGACTTTGACCTCCCTTTGTTGATAATGTCCACTGTCCCCTTATTGTCGCAGTGAAAGAGGATACGTTTTGTCGACCATGACTTGCCCCAGATTAAAGCTGCTACCACAATGGGGTAAAGTTCGAGGAAGGACATCGAGGGAGCCGAGACACCAGTAGCAGTAACCAACTCCCTAGGCCATAAGGAAGCGAACCATTGGGATTGGAAGTATCCACCAAACCCTATAGTGGAAGCTGCATCAGTAAATAGTTCAAAGTTTGGGTTACTAGTGAAATGTCTATCATAGAAAAAGGAAACTCCGTTCCAATCCTGGAGTAGAATTATCCACATTCGAATGTCTTTCTTACATTCGCGTGAAAGCCTTCCGTGATGATGTGGCTCTTTAATAGCAGTCATAAGTGTGAGAAGATAAGATACGAATGTACGACCAGCTAAGATAACTCGCATCGCGAAATTAAGATGTCCGAGGAGTTGTTGAAGTTCACGTTTAGTACACGATGACTTAAGAAGCATAGCACGGAGAAAATGTAAGATACGGGTAACTTTATCCGGTGGCAAGCGAGCCTGCATTTCCTCAGAATCCAAGGTGATTCCTAGGTATTCTATGGTTGTGGATGACCCAATAGTTTTATGGACAGATAAAGGAATCTTCAAGCGTCTGAAAACCATACAGAGAAGGGCCATGGTCCTTTCCCCCATGGCATGCGGTTGATCAATTACAAGAAAGTCATCTAGTAAATGGAATATGTGAGTCATGTCGTAATTGTTCTTGGCAATCCAACTCACTGCGGTGGATAACTGATCAAAGATAATAGGGCTGGAACGACATCCGAAAGCCAAACGATGATAAAAATAATACATATTGTCCCACCGGAAACCAAACAAATGCCACTGGGATGGGTGTATGGGAATTTGTTTAAAAGCATCGGATATATCTGTTTTGCACATGATAGCCCCTTTGCCCAGGTGCTGAATGGTATGAATGGCATCGTCAAGTCTAACGTATTGTAGAGAACATTCATCTTTATTTATCAAGTCATTAATACTGTGGGTGTCGTTAACAGTAGTATTGTGTGGGGCTGAAAGATCTAAAATAAGACGTTTCTTTTTAGAGGATTTGTGTTCAGCTACTCCCAAAGGACTACTACGATCAATTTTGAAAGGTGGAGCATGGAAAGGACCGATAACGAAACCCTTATCCACTTCTTTAGTAAGTAACTCGCCGACAACATCGGGGTTGTCCCTAGCCGATCGATTGTTTCTGCATTCGAAAGATGATAAGGGCAGCGGAGAAACCTTCGTGTCAAAACCGTTACGCAAACCATCGCAGAGGTAGTAAACCTAACTATATACATAGAAAACTGTAGTAATAGGCTAACTTATACATAGAAAACTGTAGTAATAGGCTAACTATATACATAGAAAACTGTAGTAATAGGCTAACTATATACATAGAAAACTGTAGTAATAGGCTAACTATATACATAGAAAGAAAACTGTAGTAATAGGCTAACTATATACATAGAAAACTGTAGTAATAGGCTAACTTATACATAGAAAACTGTAGTAATAGGCTAACTTATACATAGAAAACTGTAGTAATAGGCTAAATAATAGAAAACTGTAGTAAGAAAACTGTAGTAATAGGCTAACTATATACATAGAAAACTGTAGTAATAGGCTAACTTATACATAGAAAACTGTAGTAATAGGCTAACTTATACATAGAAAACTGTAGTAATAGGCTAACTTATACATAGAAAACTGTAGTAATAGGCTAACTATATACATAGAAAACTGTAGTAATAGGCTAACTTATACATAGAAAACTGTAGTAATAGGCTAACTATATACATAGAAAACTGTAGTAATAGGCTAACTTATACATAGAAAACTGTAGTAATAGGCTAACTATATACATAGAAAACTGTAGTAATAGGCTAACTTATACATAGAAAACTGTAGTAATAGGCTAACTATATACATAGAAAACTGTAGTAATAGGCTAACTGTAGTAATAGGCTAACTTATACATAGAAAACTGTAGTAATAGGCTAACTTATACATAGAAAACTGTAGTAATAGGCTAACTATATACATAGAAAACTGTAGTAATAGGCTAGAAAACTGTAGTATACTAATAGAAAACTGTAGTAATAGGCTAACTATATACATAGAAAACTGTAGTAATAGGCTAACTATATACATAGAAAACTGTAGTAATAGGCTAACTTATACATAGAAAACTGTAGTAATAGGCTAACTTATACATAGAAAACTGTAGTAATAGGCTAACTTATACATAGAAAACTGTAGTAATAGGCTATCTATATATAAATAGAAATAGGCTGTATAATAGAAAACTGTAGTAATAGGCTAACTTATACATAGAAAACTGTAGTAATAGGCTAACTTATACATAGAAAACTGTAGTAATAGGCTAACTTATACATAGAAAACTGTAGTAATAGGCTAACTATATACATAGAAAACTGTAGTAATAGGCTAACTTATACATAGAAAACTGTAGTAATAGGCTAACTTATACATAGAAAACTGTAGTAATAGGCTAACTATATACATAGAAAACTGTAGTAATAGGCTAACTATATACATTATACATAGAAAACTGTAGTAATAGGCTAACTATAACTATATACATAGAAAACTGTAGTAATAGGCTAACTATATACATAGAAAACTGTAGTAATAGGCTAACTTATACATAGAAAACTGTAGTAATAGGCTAACTATATACATAGAAAACTGTAGTAATAGGCTAACTATATACATAGAAAACTGTAGTAATAGGCTAACTTATACATAGAAAACTGTAGTAATAGGCTAACTTATACATAGAAAACTGTAGTAATAGGCTAACTATATACATAGAAAACTGTAGTAATAGGCTAACTTATACATAGAAAACTGTAGTAATAGGCTAACTTATACATAGAAAATTGTAGTAATAGGCTAACTATATACATAGAAAACTGTAGTAATAGGCTAACTTATACATAGAAAGCTGTAGTAATAGGCTAACTATATACATAGAAAACTGTAGTAATAGGCTAACTATATAGAAAATAGAGAAAACTGTAGTAATAGGCTAACTATATACATAGAAAACTGTAGTAATAGGCTAACTTATACATAGAAAACTGTAGTAATAGGCTAACTATATACATAGAAAACTGTAGTAATAGGCTAACTATATACATAGAAAACTAGTAATAGCTAAATAGGCTAACTTATACATAGAAAACTGTAGTAATAGGCTAACTTATACATAGAAAACTGTAGTAATAGGCTAACTATATACATAGAAAACTGTAGTAATAGGCTAACTTATACATAGAAAATTGTAGTAATAGGCTAACTATATACATAGAAAACTGTAGTAATAGGCTAACTTATACATAGAAAACTGTAGTAATAGGCTAACTTATACATAGAAAACTGTAGTAATAGGCTAACTATATACATAGAAAACTGTAGTAATAGGCTAACTTATACATAGAAAACTGTAGTAGGCTAACTATAATAGTAGTAATAGGCTAACTTATACATAACTGTAGTAATAGGCTAACTATATACATAGAAAACTGTAGTAATAGGCTAACTTATACATAGAAAACTGTAGTAATAGGCTAACTAGATACATAGAAAACTGTAGTAATAGGCTAACTATATACATAGAAAACTGTAGTAATAGGCTAACTATATACATAGAAAACTGTAGTAATAGGCTAACTTATACATAGAAAACTGTAGTAATAGGCTAACTATATACATAGAAAACTGTAGTAATAGGCTAACTTATACATAGAAAACTGTAGTAATAGGCTAACTTATAATAGGCTAACTATATACATAGAAAACTGTAGTAATAGGCTAACTATATAAATAGAAAACTGTAGTAATAGGCTAACTTATACATAGAAAACTGTAGTAATAGGCTAACTATATACATAGAAAACTGTAGTAATAGGCTAACTATATACATAGAAAACTGTAGTAATAGGCTAACTATATACATAGAAAACTGTAGTAATAGGCTAACTATATACATAGAAAACTGTAGTAATAGGCTAACTTATACATAGAAAACTGTAGTAATAGGCTAACTTATACATAGAAAACTGTAGTAATAGGCTAACTTATACATAGAAAACTGAAAACTGCAGTAAAAGGCTAACTTATACATAGAAAACTGCAGTAATAGGCTAACTATATACATAAAAACTGTAGTAATAGGCTAACTTATACATAGAAAACTGTAGTAATAGGCTATCTATATACATAAAAACTGTAGTAATAGGCTAACTTATACATAGAAAACTGTAGTAATAGGCTAACTTATACATAGAAAACTGTAGTAATAGGAAAAAGTAATAGGCTAACTTATACATAGAAAACTGTATAATAGGCATAGAAAACTGTAGTAATAGGCTAACTATATACATAGAAAACTGTAGTAATAGGCTAAATACTATATACAGAAAACTGTAGTAATAGGCTAACTTATACATAGAAAACTGTAGTAATAGGCCAACTATATACATAGAAAACTGTAGTAATAGGCTAACTATATACATAGAAAACTGTGGTAATAGGCGAACTTATACATAGAAAACTGTAGTAATAGGCTAACTATATACATAGAAAACTGTAGTAATAGGATAACTTATACATAGAAAACTGTAGTAATAGGCTAACTATATACATAGAAAACTGTAGTAATAGGCTAACTTATACATAGAAAACTGTAGTAATAGGCTAACTATATACATAGAAAACTGTAGTAATCGGCTAACTTATACATAGAAAACTGTAGTAATAGGCTAACTTATACATAGAAAACTGTAGTAATAGGCTAACTTATACATAGAAAACTGTAGTAATAGGCTAACTTATACATAGAAAACTGTAGTAATAGGCTAACTATATACATAGAAAACTGTAGTAATAGGCTAACTATATACATAGAAAACTGTAGTAATAGGCTAAATTATACATAGAAAACTGTAGTAATAGGCTAACTTATAAATAGAAAAATGTAGTAATAGGATAACTTATACATAGAAAATAGGCTAACTTATACATAGAAAACTGTAGTAATAGGCTAACTATATACATAGAAAACTGTAGTAATAGGCTAACTATATACATAGAAAACTGTAGTAATAGGCTAACTTATACATAGAAAACTGTAGTAATAGGCTAACTATATACATAGAAAACTGTAGTAATAGGCTAACTATATACATAGAAAACTGTAGTAATAGGCTAACTTATACATAGAAAACTGTAGTAATAGGCTAACTTATACATAGAAAACTGTAGTAATAGGCTAACTTATACATAGAAAACTGTAGTAATAGGCTAACTTATACATAGAAAACTGTAGTAATAGGCTAACTTATACATAGAAAATTGTAGTAATAGGAAAACTATAGGCTAACTTATACATAGAAAACTGTAGTAATAGTAGTAATAGGCTAACTATATACATAGAAAACTGTGGTAATAGGCGAACTTATACATAGAAAACTGTAGTTATAGGCTAACTATATACATAGAAAACTGTAGTAATAGGCTAACTATATACATAGAAAACTGTAGTAATCGGCTAACTTATACATAGAAAACTGTAGTAATAGGCTAACTATATACATAGAAAACTGTAGTAATAGGCTAACTATATACATAGAAAACTGTAGTAATAGGCTATATATAGAAAACTGTAGTAATAG